GGGGGCTCCCTCGTGCACCCCCAGTGGGTACTGACCGCTGGGCACTGTGTTGGACCGTGAGTATCAAGGGATGGGAGCTGGGGCGCCGGACTGGGCTCTGCCTAGAAGACCAGTCCCCAAATGGCCCCTCCCCACAGGGAGATTGAGGAGGCCTCGGAGCTCAGGGTGCAGCTGCGAGAGCAGCACCTGTACTACGAGGACCAGCTTCTGACAGTCAGCAGGATCATCGTGCGCCCCAACTTCTACAGTGTGGATCGGGGTGCTGACATCACCCTGCTGGAGCTCCAGAACCCCGTGAACATATCCAGTGACGTGCAGCTGGTCACCCTGCCACCAGCCTCGGAGACCTTCCCCCCTGGGACACCGTGCTGGGTGACCGGGTGGGATAACATGCGGAGTAGAAGTGGGCCTCAGGGTTGGCAAGGAGCTTGGACCTTTGACCCCCTTATCCTGCCCCCATGATGGATGGTCCAGCTCAGACAGTGGGAGCCCCGGGGTGGGGAGCAGGGGCCCCACCCGTCCTTCATTTGTGCGCCTCTGACCCGTTTCCCTCTGTGTGAAATGGGTCCAGAGTTAGGTTGTGGACTTGGGCCCCCTAGAGAGTGAAAACAGATCTTAGGATAAACCCTAAGGGTGGTATGGATTGGTGCCCCTCCAGGTAGCTGACACAATAAACCCCTACACTCCGCCCCCAGCGCTGTCAGGGGGCAACACTGACCCTAGCAGGCTGGTCTCAGAGCGTCTAAAAGGCTCCTTCTCATTCCTCCCTGATCAAGAGCTAAGCATGGGAATGCCTTCCATGAGCATGGGTCCTGCTGGGTGTCCCCTGGTCTGTCACACAGACCCCCGGCTGGCTGTCACTGGAAGGACCAGGGAGGGACTGCCCACTCCCTACCCCAGTGCTCAGAGGACGTGCTCTTGCCGGAGCAAGTGGATCCGGGCAGGGTGGAATCCAGCTCTGCCCTTCCCATCATGATGCCCTCCACAATCCCAGCCTGGGCCACATCTGGGGGTCCCACTGCCAGTGCCCCCCTCGACGAGACCCTGCCAAGCAGACATGCTCAGCAGACAGCTCCCCCAGCCCCTGTGCTGCCAAGGACAGCAAGGGGGCCGAGACCCTCCTGGGGCGGTGAGAGCTTAGGGCATTTTTCCTCTCCTTTTGTCCCCAGTCCCCTTGCCACCTCCGTTTCCCCTGAAGGAAGTGAAGGTGCCCATTGTAGAAAACAGCCTCTGTGACACCAACTACCACACTGGTCTCACCACTGGGGACAACGTCCACATCATCCAAGATGACTTGTTGTGTGCTGAGACGGAGGGGCATGACTCCTGGCAGGTGAGAGCCCTTGGGACCTACCTTCCACAGTCTCACCTACCCACTGCCTCTTGGCCAGCACTGACTCTCCCCTCCCCTAGGGTGACTCCGGAGGTCCTCTGATGTGCAAGGTGAAGGACACCTGGATGCAGGCGGGCGTGGTCAGCTAGGGCGAGGGCTGTGCTGAGCCTGACCGGCCCGGGATCTACACCCGTGTCACGAACTACCTGGACTGGATCCATAGCTATGTCCCCAAGGAGCCCTGAGCTCAAGCCACAGAGCCACCAACCCATCTATCCCCACACCTCAGCTTCCTGCTCAGAGGCCTCCCCTGATGTCCCTTCCCTCTGGAGGCCCCTCTGCTCCTGGTCCCTCCCATCCTCACCTGCCCAGGTAGCAGAGGTGTTGGGGCTCCTCCTCCCCTGCCCACTGCTGTGTGTCATTAAAGTGCATGGAAAGCAGGTGACTTTTGTCATTGTGTGTCTCATGGTGGGTGTCACTGGGTGTCCAGGGCAGACCGGAGGGGTCCCCAAGGCAATGTGTGGGCCTATGGCCACCCCTCGCAGCCCCCTACCAAGGCCAGCCATGGGCCCCTCTCCCCCACACAGGTGTGACTCCTGTAGGCAGCACCTCACACTCAGGGCCACAGAGCCACATTCCCCTTGACAATGGTCACCAAGGACAGCCAGGCCGTCTCTGCTCCCCCAACTGCAAGCCCTCAGTGGCTTCCCCCCAGGGCTTGACTGCTAAGTGTCAGCCACGGGACATTCCCTCTGGTCCCTCTTTTCTTGCTGAACCCTTCGGCAGTGACCCCTCCCCCACACATCCCTGCAGCCCAGACCCCCCATTGCTCTTGGTCCTGTAGCACTCCACTTGGTCACTTTGTCCAGTGGGCTCCTGACCGATGCCCCTGTCCTTCTTGGTAGGGTTCTTACAATGGGGCCTAGTGTTCCATGTGGGCTTGGCTATTGTGTGAGCACACCAGGAGGGGGGTGCCGGGCTCCAGGGAGTTCTAGAAATTGCCCCACTGGTTTCACTCCCACACGTCCGGGGGCAGGCAGGCAGACAGCAGCCTCTGCCCTGCTCTCTCCATGGGCCCCAGGAGAGGACACTGCACTGTGCTTTCCTTTCCTGGTTAAACAGACTTGCTTTTTGCCCAGAGCAAGTGGAGGCCCAGCGGGTCAGCACTCCCCTGGCCATTGGAGACCGGTGGTTTGACCCTGTCCTCAGGGGAAAAGCCCGGCTGCCTGGGCCACGGCAGCTCCCCTGTTGCTCGGGGTCACCGAGAATCGAACCTGCTAACTTGGCAGAAACCAGCAGCAGGAACAGTTTTGGGGAGTGGTTTTAGGATTACAGACTGAGCAGGAAGCAAGAAGGCCCATGTCCTGTCCTGGGAGGTTTGTCAAATTGATGGGCCCCCTGGATACATTGTTGTTCATGGTACACGGTCCTGAGGGTCTGACAGGTGCTCAAGCCAGGGGTCTCTGTGACAGCCTGGACATAACCACCTCTTCCCCTCACACTATCCTCGCACGGCCCAGGCCGTGGTCCCCCACTCACACCCCCCACATCCCCAGGTGAGCCCTATGCCTGGCAGCAGTGCTGCCTTTTCCTGAATGTTCACTATTGGGAGTGGACAAATGCTTCTGAATTGTAGAGAATCCTTTTATTTTCAAGAAGCCAGAATGGGCCTGTGGGGGTGGAGGCAGCAGGGTGGGGTGTGGGCTGCTACTGGTACTTCCTGCTTATCTGGCCGGATCCCTGATACCGATGCCCATTCAGGCAACGACAGTTGACACAAAACAGTGACTGAGACCAGGCACCCACAGCATCAGGCTCAGCTGGTCAGGCTGGGTTGGGGCTGGTCCAGGGTCCTGCTGAGGGAAAGGGATGCTGGTGGTCTGGCCTCTGCTGCTGACTGAGCCCTGCCTCCACCACAGGTTTGGAGGGAGCTGTGCGGTTGATGCATGTTGAAGAGATGCGCCCCGTCCCCCCCCAGGCTGGAGGTGAATGCAGCTGGGATAGGGGGCCGGAAACCCCCTTCTACAGGGCCCTGCATGGTTTTCCAGCCTCTCCCTCGGCCTCAGCAGGCCTCCTGGTGTGGGTGGCCATGGCCTGGGCTGTGGGACCCCGCCTGGGCTTGCCCTGCTTCCACCCTCTCTCAGGGTGCAGCTGTCAGGAGAGGGCAGGCCAGCGGGGTGCAGTGATCCCCCATGTCCTCAGAGTGTGGCACTAATGTGGCTGTGACCCCATCAGGCCAGATGGGCTGTGACCCCATCAGGCTCTGGCTCAAGTGCTGGCCTGGAAGGAGCCCACATCCACCTGTGAAACTGAATCCTGGCGGGTTATCAGGATCAATGACACCTCAGCCATGTCTTTGTAGTTCAGCTTCCCCCATCTTTGGGGGTCCTGGGACTAGAAAGTCTCCAAGTGGCCCTCTGACCTGGCCTGTGGTAGTCTGGGACATTTGCCCTGGGCACATAGAGGGCGGGAGGGAGGCACCTGCCTGGGCTCCTCAGTGACTGAACCCCTCTGCTCTGTGGTGAGGTCACGGGACCTGAGGGAAGTTGTCCATTAGGCACAAGGAGGGGGCACCAAGATGCCCATCACAGGGCTCTGAGCTGTCTCCTCTGGCTGTGTCTACACCCAGGACAGTATCTCTGCAGCCCTTCCTAAAGGCATTCCCTATGTATTTTAGAGCGGTTATATTAAAGAGAAAACATCCCAAAGATGCTCTTTGGTGGAGAGGCACCCCCTGAACCCTCTAGGTGTACGGTGGTTCCTGTCTCAGCCACATGCTTCCTCACAGAGGGTGTGTGTGTCACAAGCCACTGATCACCAACACCCAGTGGACTGCTGCCCCATCGGACCTCGCTCTAAGGCTTCTTCCAAAACACCAAACTCACCACCATCAAGTCGATGCCGACTCATGGTGACCCTATAGGACAGGGTAGGACTGCCCCTGTGGGTTTCTGAGGCTGCAACTGTGGACAGGAGTGGAAAGCGTGTCTTTCTCCTGCTGAGTGGCTGGTGGTCTCCAACTTCGGACCTAGTGTCTAGCAGTGTTACACATAACCACTACCGCACCAGCGTTCCTTCCCAGGCTCCTTGCTCTAGGCCAACAGGAGGTCCACAGCACCCTCTCCCCTGCCCACCTCCTGCCTGCCCAGCTGCCCCCTCCCAGCTCTCAGGAGCTTCCTGGGGGAGGGACCCCTGGAAGGAAGAAGGGTTAGTACACGGTGTGCTATCTAGATTAGAGGGGGCCTCAGTTCGGGTAATGTAGCTGCTGGTTCACGACTTAGGGTGCATCTTGCACCAGCCACACTGCGCTCTTCTGAGGGGGTCCTGGCAGGGAAACCGGGGGCCAGCTGATGGGGAGCGCCAGGGGAGCTTTATCAAGGAGCCCAGGTGGCACTGGGGATTAAGCATGGCTAGCGAATGGCCAGGCTGGCAGTCGGCTTCTCCCGGATTTACAGACCCAGGAGCCCTGGGGGGTTCTGCCACCTGCGTGTCAGCCTCCAGACAGCAGTGGGCTTGTGTTTGCGCCAGCAGCTCTCAGGACCCTGTGGCCTGGTGGGTAAGGGCTCGGCTGCTGCTCACAAGGTCATCGGTTCTAACCCACTGTGAGAACCAGGGAGAACGGTCTGGTCCTCAGCCTCCAAAAAGATCGGAGTCTGAGACGGCCGGCACTTCTACTCTGGCCTTGGTGAGTCCGAATGGGCTGGATGCGACAGGATAGATTTAAACCCCCTGTCAGGATGGGGACTTGTGGGCCAGCACAGGGTGACAGGTCACCTGGGAGCACTGGTCACCATGCAGCCCTGCCATCCCACCCCAGGGTCCGAGAGTCCCCAGAGAGAGCAGGCGATTGTCCTGCTGGCCTTAGGTCCCACGCGCCAAAGGGTTCAAGGGGGTGATGTGGGTGGAATGGATTTTATTCCAGGGCAGGTGCTGTTGGGGGGCACCCAGGTGTGGATGTGAGTCTCTGGCCCACACCCTGTCTCCCCCTCCCATGGATTCTGTTCACCTACAACCTAGGGGCTGGAGACCTGTGGCCTAGGAGGGCATCTAGCCTGACTCCCAAGCTCTAAGAGGGAGCCTGGGGCTCAGCAGGGCCCCCAGTAGCCAGGGTCTGTGCACCCCTCTCACCCAGAGGTGCCCTTCTCTGAGCACAGTTCCACATCAATCTGGATGCATCCAATGGATCCCCCAACTCCTGATGAGTGGGAGGTGTTCCTGGGGTGCCGCCCTGGGGCCAGGGGGGGTGGGCACAGATGCCCAGTCACCTAGCCAGTCCGGAGCATGGGGGACCAATTGGAGGTGGGAACCCCTGCTCTGAGGCCAGAGGGCAGCCGGGCCTGAGGCGATCAGAGTTGGAGCTATGGGGACAGTATGGGGAGCGGTGTGCTGGAGAGGGGCGCAAGTGAACAC